TGTTGAAGTCGTAGAAGAAGTGATTGATAATTTTCGACTCATACTATCATTTCGTGCTCATTAAACAATATACTTTTTTCACTCGTCGCAGTGTAGCTTGAAAATATGCGCGCAAATATACATGGCCCTCGACCGTCTAGATTTTTTTCGGTGTTTCTAATCATAGACTCAAGAAATCAGACGCACCATTTCCCCACCCCGTATATCAATTTGCGATTACCGTAATACCTACCCTTGTTATCTAAACCTTCTTGTTGAAAGAGGTTGGCAATTTTCTAATAATAATAAAACAAATATTTACTTGTAGAGGATTCATGTAGGAAAGTACGCAAGAACTATAGATATTAATAGATACCATACCACAAAATATTTGTCATCCTATTTGCCTTTCAACTTCACACTCCAATATCATTTGTTTGCAAAAATCATTAAACCACGATAAACGTGCGTCAAGAAATGAGTATTTTGGTTACACCACCAATACTATAAATCCTGTACATACGTAATATTGGAATTCAGTTGAGTTCTAGCCAAAATGATCAAAACAGCAGTCAAAATAGTTGTGATTTGTGGTATGTGCATCCAAGCCATACAAACCGTTGTAGAAACTGGCAAAGATGCTGTGAATAGTGAAAATAACGTCGAAAGATATCTAAACAACCCCCTTGGAGGAGTTTTGCTACCGGTAATCCAAAGAATATCGAGATCCATCGCTGACCCTGGCGATATCTTCAGTCTAGAGGACGAGGGCGTATTCAAGAGGTCCATTGAGGATGATGCGACCAGAGTGAGGTATCCATCGAGGAGATTCATCTTGAAAAAATCTGTGGAACCTTCAAAGAGCAGCCACATGGAAGAGACTACCACCAGCGTGTATATTATGCTTCCAGAGTTCCGGTTGAGGAAGAGAAGAAGCTTGACGAGGAGGAGGTTGAGGCGTAGATTCATTCCAGGGCAATATAGTGGAGGAGCCTTGGATTATGATTGGATGGGACGTTTGTAGGGATATCCAGAGTATGGTTTTTCGATTGTGATAAATATGTATTTTTGAATGTGATTGTGTTGTTAACTGTTGACTGTTATTTATATCTCTATGTTTTTATATATTTTTAATAAAATATAATTTGAGTGAGTTCAAACTGATGTAGTTTGCGGAATTGATTTTTTCATATTCTTTTCCGGTTTTTTCAGGCGCAATTTACCCAAAACGTCGTATGCTACTAATTTTCTTGTGATCAATAATTATTGTTATTATATTTAATAATCACACTTTTAACACGACAGAAATTGCAGTGACGATGGACGCATGATAAGCTGCTGATCTGATGCAAATATTTGGATGTGGTGTTCTTGGTTTTGAAGATGAATGTATTGGGTATATGACAGATGATTGATTCTAGGGACCAAGAGTGGAATAGTCAATTATATTTTCATAATGCACAAGCACATTCCTCAAAATTGTTTTGCAATTTTTGTCATATCTTCAGGATTGGAGGAAAAATTTGTTTTTTTCGAAAAATGTGATATTTCGTGCTTCTGACATGAAATATTCTTTTTGGTAGTTCTATCTCCAGAGATTTTTGCATAGATATAACCCTATCGAAGTATCAAACCCAGTATCTTCGAATTCATTATGAAAATCCCTAACCGATTATGGAATAAAATACAGGATGTCCTATTCGGAATTGAAAAATTGGGGTCGTTTTCTATGAAACCGGCAGTGATGGGAGAGTATGAAATATTGCAAAATTTTTGTGCTCGGTCTTCCTGTAATAGTATCTATCCATTATCATTGCCAAACATTCTGTATACAAGCGATATGGGCTTTGTACAAGAATAGGTCACAATAACTCTTCCAGGAACAAATGTCTGAAAATATATCTACAAAAAAGAATATTTCTGGTCAGAAGTACGAAATATCACATTTTCCGAAGACATTTTTTTTTTTCGAATACTTGAAGAGGTAAGAGAAATATTGCAAAACCATTTCGAGGAATGTGCATCAGCATTGTGAAAATATGATTGAAAAAATCCGAAAAATGTTCAATCAAATTGGGAGTAACGAGAAATTTTCAATATTTTGCAGAGGTTTGTTTGTCACCAGGTATAGCCAGATGACTCCAAGTATTTTCATCATCGGTCTATCTGTCGTATTCTCAATGAATTTATCTTCAATATTGAGAAACAAGCGCATCCAAATATGTGGAATTTTCGCGAAAATGTTGAATGTTGAATTAAGTGGAAAAATTTGCTTGATGCGGTTCAATTGATCAGCAGTTTATAGTTGAAGTATGGTTTTGAGGATAAGGCATTTTCACAGCGATAAAAAAGGATGCACCCTTTTATAACTCATAATTACACGAGAGCTTTTTTTGTCGAAGTGAACTCAACATTCAATGAGAATTTTGTTGCCTGGAAATGAACTTATACCAAATTACAACTCAAGCATAATTTTTTGATCCAGGTAAACTTGACATTTAAAATTCGAGTTTTGTTGCCTTCAGGAAATTGAACTAATAAACTGCCAGGCATTTTTTTTTTCGTCTAATTTCCAGACAACAAAATTCTCATTGAAATGTCAAGTTTACATCTACAAAAAAAGCTCTCGTGTGTAGTTGATTTTAGGTAATATCACTCATCTGACAGCTTCAGGCGTCTTTCGACGCTTACATCAACTATTCACAAAATAGTTAACATTTCAGCTTCAAAAAACCTTCAAATTGGGAAATATGAGCTATTTATCAGCCTCCGTGAATATATCTGAAATTATAGTAGGCGCTACAAGGTTTATATTTAGAACGGCAATGATAAAAACGAAATCATGTTATTTATTATCATTCATCAGAAAGTTTTGTATTCTGACCACGCAGAATATTATTGAATTAGTACAAAAAGTCCTATACATATATAATAGTTTACAGCATATCCACGAATTTGACATGAATATATTTTTTAGGTCACTAAGATTAGCAAAATCGTTCTTGAAACAGTTGAAATCAAGTTTATACTTTGCTCCTGCTCAAATACCATTTCGGAAGTCGTGTTGATAAATCCATACGCCTTCTTATCTTATAGGATCATCACTGATAATCTCCAGGCAAGTGATCGACCTTTCGTTGAGAAAATACTGAAATTTACAACGAGTCTGAACTGCCATCCTAATAAAACTTTTTTCACGAATATTTGCCTAATTGACAGTTGCCACGGGAAAAGAGTGAGTACTTTTTGCCCGGATATATAGTCATACCTACACTGTTGATGGCTTTTTTTGTACTAGTTCCGATAAAGATGCCTGCAACGCAAGTATGGTTCCTGTCAAAAACTTCAAATTCCACGTCGATAACTTTCTGATTATAATGTAATGTAATATCTTTTCAATATCGATTCGATCTTTGTCCTGTCACAGAAAAAAATAGTATATTATCCCTAATATAACACGCAACCTCCTAGGGACGTTCCTTTCTGGTACAATTTAAGTCCGAATGTCCCGGACCTAAAATAATTGTCCTCGGGTCGTCCCATCTCGTACGTCCATGGAATGTCTGAGCTGGTACATCATTTCAAATGTCCTAGAAATAGCATTCTTCAGACGTTCCACGTGGGACATATAGTAGACTGTCCATGCAAGAACGTTCTTAGCATTTCCCTGATGGGATTCCTTTAGGAACATCCATATCGGATGTCCCAAGTAGTACACTTTCTAGAATGACTTCAGTTCTTTTATAATATCCCTTCTCTAGAACAACCATGAAATATCCCAGACGGTACATTTCTTCAAATATCTCTATACGGACGCCATAATCCATATGTTCATCTAAGTAATAAGTAGGTACGAGAAAATTCTTCATATCATTTCATGAGATGTCATGACTACAACGTCTTATGTACGTCTCAAGGACGTCTTCAGAATGTCTTGGATACAATTCGGAATGTGTCATCAATCGGTGGTATACATTGGCATCAGGACTTCAGATATACATCCTATATAAATGTTCTTCACATAAGTGAATGATAATTGTCCTAGGAATAACGTCTAATGGATGTCCCAGTCGGTACGCGAGATATGTTGTCCCTGCGTGGACGTTTACTTACATCTCTCCGACGATCGACTGCTCGTAGGCTATAAATGCTGCACGTCAATGTCTTCTAGGCAAGTCCATTGAACATCCTTGGGAACCTCATCTGGATGTTCTCATCTGTTATGCAAGATCTGGTCTTAGGGTGACTCAAATAAAATTTGAAGTCAAGATTGATTCGTACGCCCAGGCACATCCTATGAACATTCCAGACGACGTCCTATGGCAGTTCCAGGGACGTTCTATGATCGTTCTAGAGTACTTCTTGTGGACGTTCCAGAGAACGTCCTTTGGACATGCCAGAGGACGTTTCGGAGAATGTCCTATGAATGACCTCGGTACAAAAACACAATGTTCAATGAACTTTTTGAAAGGACGACTATCGGATGATTTGAGAGAAGTGTACTTCCCACGGACGTACAGTCGCATTAAAAAAAAAGCGTACAAGTATATTACAGAAGGAAATTAACGTCATCCTATTCTGTATAAAACGGGCTATCGTTAATGATTGTTCATCAAATGTTGACAGTAAAGTTGTCATAGGTTCTTGAAAACACAAGCATTGGCTGAGCCAGTTTTACACAATTAGAACTAGGATCCCGAAATCTTCTCTTTTCAATACTTGTACGCTTTTTTATTGAATACGACTGTACTATGTATTTCCACGGTACCAAGAACGCATGTCCTATTACACGCGAAAAATATCAGATCTAAGCTCACAGTTTTTTGCCTCCCTCCGCTTCGCGTCGAGAGACAACACAACCCCGAGCTAAAATCTACCACTTTTTTCCCTTGAGTAATGAATAACTATTTCTTAGGATGGTAGTTCAGAAGCGTCGTTGAAATTAGTTGTATGAAATCACATCTAATGAACTTTGGTACTAGAATTATATTTGTTATCACTTCTTATTCGAAAGATCTGCTTTAATTCGCCAATATTATTATTTCCTTTTTGTGAAGATTTTCTGCTCCTAAGTTCACCCCTTCCTGTTCTAATTCTTCACACTCGCTGTCGTGTACCTGTTGCCACTTGGTTGGAAAGTTGAATTTTGCGAAACTCTGTCTATTTGCTAGGTGTCTGATCACTTTTTTTCGGAAGACGACAAGTATCAGAAAAATTATAACACCTTCTAGGGAGTTTATCAAATCTATTATCACCCTGCAATGCAACAAAGTTCAGTATCAAAATTCAAATATACAGGATATATCATCATGAGTTAACGCAATCTATACCAGGTGTTCATTTGAAAAATTCCCACCCGTATTATTATCTCGTTTGTTAGACGGTTCTTGGAAAAGTTCTGAGACAGGTGAAGAATAATTGTGAGGGAGCCATGTTTTCACGTAAAAATCACCTTGCTCGTTTCGTCCCCTTTGCCTCGACTGCCACCCCGAAAAAATTTCGAACGGCATTGTAGGTTGTGTGTGAAAATCACCGTGGCATTATTGATGATTTTAGCACCTAAAAAGCGACCAATGAATTCTTGAAAAATAAGTAATTGAAGGGTATTTGAGTCATGATATCTCAGCCCACATGAGGTAAAAACTTGAAAAACTTATGTTAGATATTCCGAAAGCCAAGAGGAATTATGAAAAACTTGCAGTAGCAGAAAGTTAGGTATTTGTTATTGTCATTCATTGAAATATCAAAATATGGTTAGTGGCGTACACCGAAAAAGTTTCATCAATTGTCTTCAAAGAGAATGCGAAATACCTATCTGCTTGCATATTGATTGAATTGATATGACATGTTTTTTATGCAGATTCACGATAGTGAATTGCCCTACGAATTTTAGAGCAGTACCTTCAAAGGATTTTGACATATTCAAGAAAATCTGGAAATGAAATTCGGCGCAAAGGAACATTTTCGTATACTATTTTTGTCTAATAGTTCAACCTGTAGAATTTACGGTACTTTGTCCTGGGACACCTTGTATAGATCGCGAACTCACCTGTATTTATTGCTATCGCAATTGAAATGAATAGAAAATTGATGATGATAACCATATTCTACTTACCAATACCACCTCTCCTTAGAAACCATCAATCCTTGGACAACTTCGAAAATCCAACTTAGTCCCATAACAAAAAAGAGTTTGACGTACAGTCGGACCCTGAAAATGTATGTGAAACAGTTGATACCTATTTCAAAAACCTAAGACAAACGAACAAAACGAAATTGAAGTTCAACTACCGTTGAATATGTCTTCCTCATCTGTCCTTGTCTTCAGTGTTTCATGGTAAAGTATTGAAAATTTAATGTTGGCAACATTGGAAATAAATAATTAATATACAGGGTGGGGCATTCGTGCGTCGGAGGTCGATTGCTCGAGTTCTATGAGAGCTTAGAAACTTGATTCAAAAACGAATGTGAACGAGATAACAAGGTCCATAACTAGAAATTATTGCCGCATTTACAGGGCGCGCCGAAAAAAGTCTAGTGGGTCAGGCTTATTTTTTTTTAATGGAATGTCCTGTGTATTGGCACATTTCTTGAAGCATTTCTGTCAACTCCATCCACCCCTATGATATCGTTGACTTTGTCTCTATTACATCAAAGTTGTTGATTTTTTTTGTCGAAATAGTGTCATCTGCAGATGCATACCGAAAACATCACTGTCGTCACAATTATGAAATTTAAGAAAAAATAATCATGATATCGATTGATGGAAAGATGCGTGATATTCCTGAAAAATTTTCATGCCCTCGAATTATACAGGGTGGCTAAACATTATTTTTCGATTCGGAACTTCTCGAAGTGATTTGTCTGGACTTTTTCAAATGAAACACCCCGTATATTTTTTCGGCTATCTCATGACGAATTGAAACACGAAAATCTTTCATCTCAATATCCGTATTGTTTTTTTATTGATAGAATTGATACCAGAATCAGAGCAAACAGCAATAGTTCATCTGCTAGTTATTCACAAAGTGCAAAAGAACATCATTTCAATTATTTATGTTTGTTTGTTATATCTATAAATATATTAGGAATTATGACAAGTATCATTGTACTGCATATACTTTTAGCATTATCCAATATGTTTATTGTATCCTGTACCTGATACGAAATAAATGAATTTTGAATCTTGAATCATCCTGGTTTTGTTTTCAATGCAATTTTTCCCTTTTTCACTCTGTACATAACTAGCATATAAACTTTTTATGTTTGCTTTTATACTGCTATCAATTATTCTTTCAATGAAAAACTGATTCAATAAATTATTGATTGGACTCTTGATATTTCAATAACAGATAAGAATGTGTATCGATGAAAATAACATAAAAAAAAATTGTTGGGGTGATCTATTTGAAATCTCGAGAAAAATCACTTCGAAAAGTTCCGAATTATTGAGAAATCATTTTCAGCAACATATATAATTTGAGAGGCATGGAAATTCTTCAGAGATATCATAAATTTCATAAGTGACGACAGTGATTTTTTCGGGATGCATCTGCAGATTACATTATTTCGACAATGCAATTAATAACTTTGATATTATCGGGATTAAGTCAACGATATTGAAGGAGTGGATAGAGGTCAAAGAAATGCTTGAAAAAATGTACTAATATACAGGGCATTCCATAAAAAAAAAATGATCTCGACCCTCTAGATATTTTTTGTGCATCCTGTATATGCGGCAATAATTTCTAGTTATGGACCTTGTTGTCTCATTAACATTAGTTTTTTAAATTAGCTTCTAGCGATCATAGAACTCGAGCAATCAAGCTTCGACTCACTGATGCCCCAGCCTGTATAATAACCTCAGTATTCCAGTGTTGCCAACAAAAAATATCCATTATTTTAAGTTGAAAACAAGGACCAATGGGGAAGACATATTCTTTCTAATCTTTCTCTCTCAGCGCTAACAGAAATTATCTTCTCTATTGCAAAAAGATATCAAATTTTGAGTTTTGCCTGAAATTTTTGTAAATTCCTAATTAGAGGTTTCAACCGAACCCGACCATCTGCTTTCGGCGAGGTCAGAAGCACCGTAAGTATTAATAACATTTGCAATGTTTCCGGACATTCAATAAATAATGGTTGAAAATAAAAGTAGGTATGTTGGGAGCGTACAGTAAAAAGAATCTCATACAGCACCCCTTTTTTCATTTTTATTGGTATGAGTGGATATGTGACTCATCTTTTCCTGCCAAGCTTCAATTCCCCTAAGGTTTTCAGGGTTCTCACTATTTCTCAGTTTTAAATATTTCATATTGTACAGAGTGGCTGAAATTCGAACCTCTCTGAATCCTGAAATTCTTGAAGGGAATTGGAACTTCAGGGGCTGCTGTGAACGAGCAATCCTTGTGGAATCAGAAGAAAATAGAGCATAATCTAAAGTCCATTCCAACTAAGAAGACAGCGTTGAAAACCATAGGGAAGTGTTGACCTTCGTTCTGATTGGCCCTAATATTATGACTTATGACGTGACGTTTTGAGTTAGGCGCCATATTTTTTATTTCGCCAGTGTAAACATTCCATATTCAGAAGCAGCACTACTTATATGGAATGTAGTACAATCAGGTTGTACCACATCTGTTTATTTATACCATTATATCCATACTATCAGTGACCATGATATACTGGGTGTTTCCGAATTGGAGCGGTCAATAATATGGGGTGTTGTTGAGAAAATTATTTTTCAATTATTTATATTGAAATGTATGATCTCACTATACCGCGCTATATATATTTCTTTTTTTCTTCATTCATAAATCTCAAGAAATATTATATGTTTATACAGGGATGTGGAATAAAATGAAATATTCAACAAGATATGTATATATATACAAGGTGACCCATAAGTCATGGTTCAAAAGAAGTGGGGTGGTACGGAGGGGTCATTTGCAATCAAACTAACGGTATATGTGGTTATCAAATTGTTGATGGTTCAAAAGTTTTTTTACGAATAACGTAACAATATTATTCTGAATATTCAACAGAAAACAACTACTTTCCTGGCTATATCCCACGACGAACATTGGATTATATCTATATGAACACACACGATAAGAGTTTGAAAATAAAATATAAAAACTTCTGAAATTGAGAATTTGCATTCTCCTTCAGACAAAAATATGTATATGCACACATCATTCTGAATATTCAACAGAAAACAACTATTTTCCTGGCTATTTGCCACGTCGAACATTGAATTATATCTGGTTACTGATGAGGATTCAGAAATCCGAAATGGTTTCATTGCAATAAAATCATAATTATAACCTGTGTGTGATAATATTTCCCATATCACTGATATGAATGATTATTTTTTTGGAAGTTTTCAAGCTCATCAAGATCAGAGTTTATGCCAGTATACTTCTCCTATACATTCCAATTTTCATTTCAATGCTGAATATATATATTTGATAAGTTATATTTCTATATCATTATACATCATATTATTCATCCGATTTAAAGAAGAATGTCAATTCTCAATTTCGGAGGATTTTATCTTTTATTTTTCATGTTCTCCTTCTGAATGTTCATCAGATATAATTCAATGTTCGACGTGGCAAATAACCTGCAAAGTAGTTGTTTTCTGTTGAATATTCAGAATGATGTGTGCATATACATATTTTTGTCTGAAGGAGAATGCAAATTCTCAATTTCAGAAGTTTTTATAATTTATTTTCAAACTCTTATCGTGTGTGTTCAATAGATATAATCCAATGTTCCTCGTGGCATATAGCCAGGAAAGTAGTTGTTTTCTATTGAATAAACTGAAAAAGAGTAGATATTCTCATCACATAGAGAATGCGAATTCTCAATGTATTGCTTCATATAAATATATATCCATTTTTGTATGTCCATAATTTATCTGAGAATATTCCTTTTCAAAACTTTGACTATATTATTATCTCACCTGTATTTGAGTACTCTGCTGCTATTGGGAGGATCAACTGCTTGCCTCCAAAGCACCAGTGCTGTCCATGCAAAAAATACAACATTGAATGCCAACAGTACAGCTATGGGTCCGTATAAATATATCGACGTCTCTCTTGTTGCTACAAAGAATTACATAATTTGTACCACGAAATAATTCCAAACCAAAATTTTACTTCACCACTATTATTGAGGGTCTCTGCCTATACGTACTTTTGAACCAACAACTAACCTGGCCTATGCCAGGATGAATATGTTTCAAATGTGGGGAGTCGGAGTGGTGGACAGATAAGAGAAAAATCAGCAGAAATATCGGACCCCCTAGTCCATAACAATAATACACGAGTTTCCAACTTTTGAATTTCGCAAAGATTTTTGGATTTCTAAAAAGTGCAATATAGAAATCAATATATACAGTAAAATTCATTACAGTACTCACACGACTTGTCTCCATATGTGGAAACTGATGATATTTAACCAGAAGAAAGCATACATGAAAGAGGCATAGAGAAAATAGGCTAGCATATGACAAACCACAGGATTATTTATTTCTCCACCTGAGAAATTCAGAGCTGATAAAATGATGAATGCAAATGCTAACCCAGATATGGAATGAATGATGTTGATTCCCTAAAAAATTCAAAACAGAAAATTCTATTTCAGGCATATAGTACAAAGCACAACAAAGTTATCGAAATAGTAGGTAGATAACAGAAATGTGTGAATGAATAATGCCTAACCTTAGCTAACTTTCAATCTATAATATGATGTCGTTAGTAAAAAATACTGAATCAAAACATTTGTCAAGTGTTGTGTTATTTTATAATCAAGATCTCATGGATTTCTTAGTAGTATTGCTAGAGATCAGTCACCTACTCAATTACCTGCAAATCTAGAAGTGAAGGAATAGTTAAATATACTGCAACAGTCACTATAATGAAAAACACCGAAATTAGTTGGAAAACTGTATTCACTGTCATTGTAACATTCGGAATATCTGAATCTGTTACATCGTAGCAAACGATGTATACTTCTCTATGGTCTTTTTGAAGAGTTGTCAAACAGAAGCTGAAATTGAAAGAAATCTTCTCGAATAAAACTGGAATATTGTGAGAAAAGCGACATAGGTACACTGCTGCCCAAACAAATCGTAACTACTCACTTATCCCCACGGACTATCATATCTATCTTTATTTCATAGCTCGACCGCGACGGTAGGTAGTTTCGTATACCTGGATCCTCTTATTATCTTCCTTGTGGTATGGTGCGAAAAAGCAAGTAGAATGAGTAGTGAAAGTTGTTCATTCCATAATTTGGTTCAATATCATTGTTTTATCATCAGAATATGATTAAAAAACCTCGATATCACTCATTTCGTGTCACGTTCAGAACATTTTTTCACATTCACATGGAAACATCAAATGTTGAATGGAATTTTGAAGGTAGATTTGCCATTTCCATCATAATCAATATCAAAAAGGATTGGTAATCTTAACACCAATACCATACGAATGCACCCAAAATACTAGAATCAGGTCATAAAATGCTAATGAGGTGTACACTTGGGTAGATCGACATTGTGCCTAAACGATGAATAGTACATGGGCTTAAACAAAATCTACCAATATAGCTCAAGAGTCGTTACGATTTGTTTTGGGCAGCACCACTTTGGAACGCACAAGAGAAAATTAACTTTTCCTCGTTTCAGTTACGATTTTCTACTTTCATACATCAGGGCCCGTTCACAATGGAATGAAATGAAATCATATGAAAAGTTTTTCTGGTCTAGAATTATTAATTTTCCCAAGTAATTGAAAGTGGATAGGTATCAAAGATATTCTCATCACTGATGTTGGTAGTGATGATCCGAAGAGCTGAATAGTCCCAATTCTCAGCGGCTCGAGAGCGCCGATGATACCTGGTGAGCCAAAACAGTACCATTCTCGTTGTTGCTGACAATTGGCGCAACTTTTTCCATCTTGGATATCTTAGTTATCAGATCTAATTCTTTGAATATCTTTATTGATAGGAGTAGATAGATTCTAAATTGAGAATTATCGATTGCACTCACTCATGTTCGGGAATGGCTTCTTCATAGTCTGAATCTATCACCAAGTTATTTTTCGGATCCACTAGTGTTATCGTTGAGTTGTCATCAGTTTCTATGAGGTAGGTATTATTACAATGGCCGACGTGTAGAGGTTCACCATTTGAGCATTTTCTTGTTGATAGTGCCAAATTATTACCATTGCAGCATTTTGGAGTATTGGAATGGATGAGGACCACATTGCTCAGTACCAGGATGAGTGTCTTCATGGTCATTCTGAACTCTAGAAAAATATCTACTAAATACATCTTACAATCGCAGATCAAGTTTTAATCTTCATAATTATGAGAAATATCTGATTCTACCTACTCCATTATGTCTGGATTGAATGGGTTATTAGGAGCATTGCTCGACTAAAGAATTAGGTACATCCTTTATGCAATATGGACAGTTAACAAATCAACCTACACACAGTAAATTATGGAAATTATAGGGACTGTTTCTTCTTCCATACATTCTGAATTCTATGAAATTTAGTTGAAGAAATGTGAAGTTTTGCGATGACTGGAAGGTTTCCATTTTCTCCTACCAGATGTCTGTACAGGGTGCCTGGAATTCGAGCCTCATCAATGGGATCTCGTAAAGTGTGAGAGATACAGGGTCGGTTAAATTGTGGCAATATGATGCCTAACAAAATTCCGTTTTGAAATTTGAAAAATTCAGAACACATTCAAAGATTTTTGGAAAAAACCGAATAGACGCGTCGTCATTTCATTTTTTTTATGACTCGTATTTGGAGATATTCAACAAAACAAATTACACATTCTTATTGCTACTTCTTCTGTTCTTCAAAATGGAGCTATCAGATTTTAAAACCGACGTTTTGTCTTGAGCTGCCATCATCATTTTTTTTCATACGGACCTATATTTTTCATTATGGATTTTAAAAGCTTTCAATCTCCTGGAATCAACGGTGTTTTTTATGTTCTGGTTCCCACAAAAAGGGATTTCCTGTAATGTTCAGAGAACATCGTGAGAACCAAGGGAAATGAGGTAGGAATTGGTGTTCTTTTCAAATTTCTGGAGGTCATATGCCTCGTGGAATACCTCCCTTGGCAATGTGTTCCAGAGCCTCGCTGTTCGTTGGATGAACGAGTCTTTGGAAATAAATGTTCTGCATCAGGTCTCCAAAGTGACCACGAAGGGGTGCGAAGCCTCAACTCGACGGGTTAATCTCGCAGGGACTGCCAAGGGAGGAACAATTGTTGATATTTCAGAAGAGCATCGTCCATGGAAACATCTATAAAATAAAGCCAGATCGCCAACTTTTCTTCGGTGTTCCAGAGAAGTGAGTGAGTTTGTGAGCGAGGCATCACCCACGAGACGAGTTGCCCTTTTTTTGGACAGAACCTAACAGTTTCAGGGTATGTTTGGGTGCTTCACTCCGGATATGGGAACAGTATTCCAGGACAGGTCGGATCTGTGCCTTGTAGATCATGAGCAGCTGACTGGAAGTGAAATAGCTCCTGTCTCGAAACAGAAAACCAAGTTTTTGTGATGCACTTCTAGCAATTGATCTCACGTGATTTTCCCAAGAAAGGTTATTGCTGATAGTAATACCAAGCATCGATATGGGTGTCTCCAAAGGTATGGTTACTCAGGACAAGCTTATGTTGGGCACAGTGAGATCGGCATTTCTAGAGAAAAGGCATGCTTGTGTTTTGTTTGCATTGAAAACTACCAAGTAATCATATTTATGTTGTCAACATTTGTCCCTCGTTTATTTCTGATTTGCGTGGCTGGTATTGGAGCCTTGGAAGAGAAGGCGGTATGGAGGGTACAATCATCCGCGAAACTGTGTACTGGGCATGAAGTTGCTTTCAACGAATCGATGATATGGAGTAGAAATAGTGTTGGTGCTAGAAATTGTATCACACTTATTCGAAAAAGGTGTTTGTTTTCATCCCTACTAAAAATCTATTCTCTATCTCTAACACATTGGTTCTTATGGAAAATGCCATTAATATGAATAATAATAATAATAATAATTATAATAATTAGTATATTACTCTTCTTGCTTCTTGAAATAGTGTTTTACAGCAAGAGTTAGATCCAGAAGATAAAAATCGAGAGCAAACTATTCATATGAACTAAAACCAATAATGAAAAAAAAAAAAACATGAGAGAAACTGATGTTACTGTAAGTGCGTGTACCGTTGATTTTAGGAGATCAGAGTTGATGATGCCAGCTCAAAGACGAAAAAATCTGATGAGACCATCTTGTAGAACAGAAACAGAACTAATGAGGATGTGTAATTGGTTTTGTTACATCTGCTCAAATAAACTCACAAAAAAATAGAAATTAAATCGCGAATATTCGATCGGTTTTTCCCAAAAATCTAATTTTAAATTTTTTAAATTTCAAAACGGCGTTTCGTTATGCGTAAAATTGGGCAACTTTCCCATAATTGAAAAGGGATTCACGAGTTCCCAATATGATGCGGCTCGAAATCCAGCCACCCTGTACAGACAGGCCAGCAGACAGACTTATAATTGCAAAGATTGCAAAACAGTATGCTATTTTTTTCAGTGAAATATTGGGTTGGGCCTAGTCCATTATTAATAACCCAGTATATTGAATTGAAGACTCTTTTTCAACACAGCATTAATTATATAATGGAAAATCGAGATTAGGTATAAGTGGTATACCGTCAGCGAAATTGCAGAAGAATCATAAACAGTACAAAAATACCACACATAATAATCATAATATCTGGCAAAACTAGGTATATTGGCTTTTACTTTTACAAGGTTGAGCATCTGTTTTCGATGTTTATGTATCTGGAAATGATATGATTCTGTTACGTCCATTACAAACTATAAAGATATTTCCATATGGAATCAAATTATGTGAAAAAATAAATCATTGAATGAGCCTTGGAACTATACCAATTTTTTCGAATTGACTTCGATGGAAATCCATATAGTACTATATATGTCTTCGTACGGCGGTATATACGGTATATTATTATATTATCTCTAAAACTGTGATAAAGTTGACATAAATTAGGTTTTCTAAACTCAGAATGAGGTCTATCAAACCATGTGAAAATATTTTAGGTTTCTATTCGAAATAAGAAAGTTTGTGGCCACTTTTGGCTGGAGGACTAAAAATATTTCAGGTAGATTGGAAATGATCGATTATAATATAAAGATACCAGTTATCAAGTTTTGCTGTATTATTGCTATGCTGCCATTGAATACAGTATGTATGAATTCTCCGAAATATCAAGATCTATCAAAATGTTCAACAAAAAACAAGGTTTCCCATTCAAATTAAAAAGTTGAGCGTATTTCCGGTTAAACCGAAAGTATATCAATAACGAAAACAATCATCAGATGCATCTTGTATCATTGTACTTGACTGCAGTTCAAAAAATGTCGTCCTTTCCGTTTGAAAGATATTAACTTGGTTCCATACTTTATCTTATAACCCTGTATAATAAAACTGTTGCTTTATTAAATCGAGTAACGATTAAAAATGCTACGTTTTGTTTTCTTGGAGAAATTGATTATATTGTTACTAACATATATAGGTATGTACAATATACTACATATTGTTTCACCACTAACCAAACTATTATTTTACATAACTAACATAGTAAGCGAAACACGTGTCTATAGGCTTCCCAGATAGCACAAGTGCATCTTATGGATATACTATGGATATCCATCATGGATATTGTGGATGTCCATAAGATATCCAAAAAGGCTCTGGTATATCCTATGGACGTCCATAGGATGTGACAGTGTGACCTTTTTGGATGTCTTGAAGATATTCATTATGGATATCCATAAGATATCAACTATGGACATGGATAAGAGATAGTGAACCCTATCCTAAAAAATCACAAAAATTGAGAAAAGCACTCACGTCTCACTGTGTTCGAATAATGTATAGTTGTCAGTTCTTATGCATCATCAATTTTGGACAAATTCGTAGGAATCACTTTCAAATTCACTTCGAATTAATAAAATATGAGAACAGATTGACATTATTTGACTATTCCCAGGTTGGTAGAATCGATGATCTATATATAATCATCAGTTCTACCATCAATCTTGGACTATTTGAGACGTTACGCCACCTCGCGCTGTTTTTGAAAACCGAATCAATAATAATAGCAGATAGTGCATCACAATGTGTGCTATCTTTTGGAAGACCCACGCACAAGTGTTACTTTTGTGAATCTCTTTCAATTTATTTATCATTTCATTCATTGTATATACTTGATTTGAAGTTTCTAGGTATTGATTTTTTGTCTCTGTATCTGATGGATATCCTATGGACGTGTCCAGGACGTTTGTTTCGGATATCTCAAGTACATCCGTAATCGGATATCTTATGGATATACATTTTATGTCCATGGATATCCCGCCTTGAATACTTGAAATGGATATCCATAAGATATCCTGTGCTAACTGGGTTAAAATAATTGGTTGTTTAGTGGTAAAACAGTAAATGGGACGAAGGTAAATCTGATTCATTTTGACAATTCAATATAAACAAGGTTTATCGAGGAGGGGCAGTTCTATCAGTATAATACCGAATGATTGGCTAGAATCAAGCGTTGGTATTGATTGGAATCACCAACATGTCAGATTGTGACATGTGAAACAAATACTCGTTATACAGTTGTGTCCCGCTTTTCATGAATACACTTTCTTGACATTTTGGTGATGATTGTTTGTTGAAACATGATGCATTTAGATTTAGCAGAATAAACAGTTCCATTCACTCTTGACGTGCGATGTTGTTTTACTGTTGCCAGCTCTGATGTTTAATCGAGAACGTGTCCCTGTTATAATGTGTATAATTAAATTTTCATTCTAAAACTTCCATCTTCGTTATGCAGTTATTCAATATGCTCATTTATATTTCAATTGTGAATGAAGATTTCAAATGACATTAAATTTAAGTTTCATGTAAAATGAACGATGAAACTTCGAATTCAAATGTATTCCATGTGCAGTCATTCAATAGACTGCTTCACCGTTTCTATTATCATTTCCTTTGATTTTGATACACAGTGAATTGAAAAAACAAAAATGTCAAAATTTGTCATTGAATTACCAACACCCTATATATATATAATGAAGTTTTAAGACTATCGAGTTGAAATTTTGTATGAGTTATGCTTCTGAATCGAATAGGACAAAAATGATTAATAGTCGATCTTGAAATTTTGACCCCTTCAACAGACAATATAGAATATTTCAGATGTGTCAACATTTTC